TTCTGCCACTTTCTGATCAGTATAGATCGAGATCACATCGTCCTTAGTACGATCATCCCTTGTTGGTATTCTGGTCTTGAATGACCTATTAAAATTCAGTATAGATAGTGTGCAGTCTGTTTCCTGCCCTATGATTGGTCTGCCTATCTTTTGTAGGAGGGTGCCATGACCAATGCGATTATGCTTCATCTGTTCGACTGTTTAAGTTGTAGATTTAGCAGAAATGCATTTGATACATTATAAAAATCTTTCTATAGATCTGGATCATTAGTCAATCTATTCATACATATAATAACATAAATGTATTCATGGAAAAGCTGACCTTAGAATGCTAACAGGATAATATGGGCCCAGATACCATCATTTAGCTGCAGTCAATGATGCAGCTAGTATTGTGCTTGCCCCGAATTTTTTGTAATTGAGTATATAACTTATCTCCTGAGTCTATCCTTTTACTCTAAATGTAATTATTATCCTTGAGCTCATTTTTAATTAAATTTCGCTGTCAGTAATGTATTCGCAAAGTAATAAATTTGTCAGTTACATAAATATGTCAGTAAAAATAATTTTGATTGTTTCAACATCTGTTCAGTCATAAACTCTGTAATATTTTTAATCAATTTTGAATCATTAAAATTAAAAAATATATAATTCTTTAAAAAGGTATTCAAATTTATATCTTAAAATAAACAAGCATAAATATTTAACAAATTTCTTTGATTTTATTTTTTTAACATAAACATAACGCGAATAATGTATTTTCATTATTTTCTCTACACTTTCATTTACTTTTTCTTTAATATTTCATTTCGAACTTATTCTGCTTGGTAGATTTCCTGGAAGAACCTAATTAATATTTCATTATTGTCTTCATTTTTATTCTTTTTAATTTTTGTAGACACAATGACAAACATAATTTACAACCCATTATCCGGTAGATGTGTATAACAAAAGAAATAAGAAATTATACTTTAATTTGGTGGGAAAAGAAGCGCAATGACAAGTCATATTAATTAACATTAAATTTACATTTTTTTTTGTAATGATATTAAATATTTTTTTTCTAAACTAAGAAGCAAATAATAGGATTATTTTATTAAACAAATATAAATATATAGGAGATGGAAACAGTTTAGGCAAATGAGGGTAAGATGGTTCATTTTAGAGGTTTTCGGAATTATTTTTTTTTGTAAAATAAATAGATAACAAGTTAGAGTGCTATATTCGGCTGTGCCGAATCTTAAATACCCTCCACCAGCAAGCTACTTTTTATTGAAACCCATTTAACTATCTAATTTTTAGATAACTTGGCAAAATTTTTGTTTCCTTATTGAGGGTACTAACATTTATGCATATGTCAAACTAATTTTAATTAGGTCGAGAAAAATGTATATTAATATGGGAGCTAAGACAACCTATGGACAGATCCGGAAGAAAAAATCCGTAGAATGATTTATATATACAAAATACACATTTATGTCGAATTTTATCCCGATAACTTTGATTGTTAATGTGCATTTGAGTAATTTTCGGAAATGGTCCTTATATGGGAGTTGTGACCAATTATCAACCGTTAAGGAAAAAATTTCGTATAATGATTTATATGCCAAAAAAATTCAAGTCGAATTTTACTACAATAGATTTATTAATAATGAAATATGTGCGTTTAGGTGATTTTCGGAAGTGAACTTTATATGTATAGGAGCTACGACCTTACACAAAACATATTTGTGTCGAATTTTATCAAGATATCTTTATTTGTTAATGAAATATGTGCGTTTAAGTGATTTTTTTGAAGGAGCTATTACCATATATGGAACAATCCGGAAAAAAAATTGGTAGAATGATTTATATGCTCACAAAACATATTCAAGTCGTACTTTATCCAAATAGCTTTATTATTCAAAGAAATATTCGCGTTTAAGTGATTTTCGTAAGTGGACCCTCTATGGGAGCCTCTCCGAAAAAAATTTCGTAGAGTGATTCATATAAAGACAAAACGTATTTGTGTCGAATTTTATCAAGATAACTTTATTTGACAATGAAATATGTATTTTTAAGTGATTTTCGGAAATGGGGTTATATGGGAGCTATGACCAATAATGGACCGATCCGTAAAAAATTTGGTGAAATGATTTGAATGTACACAAAACGTATTTTTGTCGAACTTTATCCCAATAGCTTTAGAATTCAATGAGATATATGTGTTTAAGCGATTTTCGGAAGTGGACCTTATATGGGAGCTATGACCAAATATGGGCCTATCCGGAAAAAATTTAGTGGAATAATTCATATTTATACGAAATATATTTATGTCGAATTTTATCACGATAGCTTTATTTGACAATGAAATATGTATTTTTAAGTGATTTTCGGAAATGGGGTTATATGGGAGCTATGACCAATAATGGACCGATCCGTAACAAAATTAGTAAAATGATTTGTATGTATACAAAACATATTTGTGTCGAATTTTATCCCGATATCTTTATAATTCAATGAAATATATGCGTTTAAGTGATTTTCGGAAGTGGACTTTATATGGGAGCTATGACCAATTATGGACCTATCCGGAAAAAATTTCGTAGAGTGATTTATATTTAGACTAAACATATTTGTGTCGAATTTCATCAAGATAGCTTTATATGACAATGAAATATGAGCTTTTAAATGATTTTCGGAAGTGGGCCTTATATGGGAGCTATGACCAATAATGGACCGATCCAAAACAAAATTAGTAAAATGATTTATATGTATACATAACATATGTGAGTCGAATTTTATCCCGATATCTTTATAATTCAATGAAATATATGCGTTTTAGTGATTTTCGGAAGTGGACTTTATATGGGAGCTATGACCAATTATGGACCTATCCGGAAAAAATTTTGTAGAGTGATTTATATTTAGACTAAACATATTTGTGTCGAATTTCATCAAGATGGCTTTATATGACAATGAAATATGAGCTTTTAAATGATTTTCGGAAGTGGACCTTGTATGGGAGCTATGGCCAATTGTGGACCGACTGAGATCTGCGTTGACAGTATGATTTCTGTTCACATTATATTTGCATGTGCAAAATTTTGTGTTAATACCGATATATTTGAGGGAGTTATTAACGATAAACTAATTTCCGGGAATGCATACCTTTGTATGGGGGCTATGGGAAATATTGGATCGATTGTAAAGATTTTCAACATAATTGATTACTGCTATGAAAAAATAATGTGTGACAAAATTCATCGAAATATCTTTGGTAGTCTCTGAGAAAACTTCAAAAGAATGATGAAAAAAACGTAATTTTTTTCGAGGTAGTCTGAAATTTTTACTCATAGCTTTTTACGTTGTGAACCGATTTTGCTGATTTTCAATACCAAACTGCTTAGGATAACAGTAAATATTTTGGGTGAATTTGGTTGATTTCCTTTGCTTAGTTTTAACGTGAGCGTGTTTTACACAGACAGACAGACAGACAGACAGACGGACAGACGGACATAGCTAAATCGACTCAGAATTTCATAAGGACCCAGAATATATATACTTTGTTGGGTCTTAGATGAATATTTCTTGGTGTTACACACGGAAACGACAAACTTATATATACCCTCTATCACCACTGATGGTGGTGGAGGGTATAAAAAATATGAATACATATATAACTTATTATTGACGTTTTATCGTTTTGTTTCACAATCCAGCAATTTCAAATTAATAACAAAACGATGCAAAAATGTTTAATTTAAATTCACCCAACATTTTCTTCCTAATTTGTTTGGTATTGAAAATGAACAAATCGGTTTACATCGGTAAGAGTTATTAATCAAAATTTAGAAAAAGCTCCTTATCAAATTCTAAGTCGATTTAGCTTTGTCTGTCCATCCGTCTGTCTGTCCGTCTGTATGTCCGTCTGTCTGTGTAAAACACTCTCAGAATTTAACCAAATTTACCCAATATGTTCTTCAATTTCCTGAAAATAAGCAAAATCGGTTTACATCGGTAAGAGTTATTAATCAAAATTTAAAAAAGCTCCTTATCAAATTCTAAGTCGATTTAGCTTTGTCTGTCTGTCTTTCTGTCTGTCTGTCCGTCTGTCTGTGTAAAACACTCTCACGATAAAACGAAGCAATAGAATTTAACCAAATTCACCCAATATGTACTTCATTTATATAAATTGTTTAGATTGAAAATAAGCAAAATCGGTTTACATTGGGAAAAGTTATGAATCAAAATTAGGAAAAAAATTAAGTCTTTTTTTGCACATTCGAATGCAATTTTCACAAAAACTATCCAATATAATTCCATTAAAACTATCACAAATTTGTTTCTATGCCAAAACTTGATTCCTGTTGAAAATTGGCGGAAATACAAATGTACATATTTTTGGAAAATTAATTTATTGTTAATAACTTCCATTAGAAGACCACGCAACTTTGTCAACATTGCAACAATTCGTTGTCGCAAACTAAACTTTATGCACATCCGTTGTCTAAAAGTTAACAAACGTCGTAAGCTCAAAATGCATTGTCAATAGTGAGCTTACCACGTTTGTTAACATTTAGACAACGGATGTTCATAAAGTTCAGATTGCGACAACGAATTGTTGCAATGTTGACAAAGTTGCGTGGTCAACATTAAATGTTGTTGTTGTATGTATGTATATACTTGACAATGAATGTTATTGAAAAATTTTGTGTTAATTTGGTACCAGGCGTGTATATTTTAGTTCCTCTGTGTAGAATTCATATAAACAAAAATTTCTGAATGGGTCCATAACTAGTCCCCTTCCAAATATCTCATAAAATTATATTATGGAAATTGTAAACGGAATAATAAAGTTCTTCATACATACCCTCCTGCCGAAGGTGAAGGATATACTGCTATATCCTTATACTAACTGCTTAAAACAATTAAAATATGTGACAGTTTAAATGTTTTATTAAAATTACAATAAATAATTTAGCGCAGTTTAAATAGAAAAACAGTATAAAATAATTTACCTTAATTTTTTCACCGGCAGTTTTATTTGAATGCTGAAAATATAAAAACAAAACATAAATTAATTATTTATAAGTACAAAAATTAATAAGTTTAAAATATGCATTACAGATTAAATAAAACGAATTTATAAAAAAAAAATAATTGCACAATAATTTTCACATAACCCAGCTAAGTATTAATGCCGTAAGTAAGTTTTTGATACATAGACTAATTAAAGGACTAAATCGACTTTAAAGTACATTAGTACCTTTTTTACAAAATGTACGATTATTAAACAAATATTATAATATATTTTCCACATAATTAATCTACTAACATTTTAAAATATTACTCTTACCACTTTCAAAAAATTTTGCTGGGGTTTTCTCTTAATTGCACCAAAAAAAAATCAATTTCAATTATTTATGCACATATGTAAGTACTTAATGGTATATAAATATTTACACTTTTCATGATTACATTTTTAGTGTCATATTTTTATTTTAATTGAAATTTATTCTAGCATTTTCAACATATTTTATTAAATTAAATTGAATATACAAAATATAAACACAAAAACAAATAAAAAAAATAGCCCTTTAGAAACTAAAAACTATGTTTGTATGTAAAAAAAGAACGAAAGAACAACAACGTAGTAAGGCAGCAACATCTCTAGAACGCATTCAAATAAAAACTAAATTTAATTTGCCATAAACTCTAGAGCATAACCGCACCACACAACCCGAAAGTATTTAAAATACACAGCCACAACAATCTACTCAAATATAGAGTTTAGAATGCAGCATATTTAGTTGACATCAAACTGTTAAATTTAAGGAGAACAGAAAAATATAAATAAAGAAAAGTATTTATATTAAAATAGTTGGAAATGGATTAAGTCGACTTGAAATACCATATTACTATATATAAACAGCAAAAATTTACATTGAAAAGTAATGAGTTAAAAACCTCATTATCTTTCACTACTTCTACATTGGCTTATATATTATTTTGGCACGACAATGTCATTGGAGAGTATTTGCCACACAAACAGAAACTCAAATAACTCATTGCCACTCTCACTAGCAAGATGTTCGTGTGCTTAACGAAAGCAACTGCTTTGACGGCCTAATCTCAGGGTAGTCTCTATCATCTATTGAGTTGAAAATGTCATTGGAGAGTATTTGCCACACAAACAGAAACTCAAATAACTCATTGCCACTCTCACTAGCAAGATGTTCGTGTGCTTAACGAAAGCAACTGCTTTGACGGCCTAATCTCAGGGTAGCCTTTATCATCTATTGAGTTGGCTCCGTTGTTTCAGCAACAGCACCTGGATATAGGTATGGATACGAACTTGAGATTTCGAGTTTGTTAATCCGCTGTCGTACTCACATCGCCTCTGATAGTTCCTTTTATTAATAAAAATATAGTCTAAAACAAGTAATAAAAGTGTAGTCGGGCGTGGCCGACCTATATATATGAGAGTTAGGGTCCGATGAACCGATCCTAACAAAATTTGATGGAGAGATTATTGTCGACATTAAAGCGAATTATACCGAATTTCATTGACATACAGGTGTTTAAAAGGAAATTAACGACGTTCAAGCATTTTCAGGGGACTAGGGTTAAATAAGGGCCGCTCATTACGAAATTTTGCAGTATCATTTATATTTGTATAAAACGTAGTTGTTCATTTTTGTAGCGATATTAGTATATTTGTCATAATTATGAGCTGCAAATCCCAATTTAGGGGGTCCAGTTATATGGGGGCTAGGTGAAATAATGGACCGATATAGGATTCGTCCTTAGGTCAAAAGTAATATATGTACCAAATTTCATCCAATTATCTTCAAAATTGAGACCTGTAGTTTGATTACAAGGTTTACATGGACAGACAGGCAGACAGACAGACAGACAGACAGACAGACAGACAGACAGACAGACAGACAGACAGACAGACAGACAGACAGACAGACGGACAGACGGACAGACGGACAGACAGACAGACAGACAGACAAACAAACAGACAGACGGACATGGCTTAATCGACTTAGAAAATTATTCTGAGCCGATTGGACAGACAGACAGACGGACGGACATGGCTTAATCGACTTAGAAAATTATTCTGAGCCGATTGGTATACTAAATTGGTGTAGGGTATAATACTATACTACACTACTATATATCAGTCATTACTTTTAAATGATACCCTACATTACATTAGTTAATTTGAAGGGTTACTGAAGGAGCTAAGTTAATACTGTAAATGTTCATGGGGACTCATCTGATCCCGTTACAGACTCACAAACATTGATAGTATTTCCATACCCAATAAAACTATAGCGTGTCAACAAACTTTTTTTTTTCAAAATAGTGCAAAACAAGCATAACACCCCATATCCTACAAATTAATCGCTTTGATATGCTACAATCATTACAGTCACTTTGTTTTTAGTTTCAGTCATGTGTACAAATAAAAAAAAAAAATAATAAAAAGAAAACGTATTTTTCTCGTTAAAAATATTAATCCCTTTTCATAGAGCTACTCATGTAACGAAATTAGTTTCATACGAAAAATTTTAACTAATTAATGTACAAATGTGCAAACTTTAACTTTATACTCTCCGTTTAATCGTTTTTAATTTAAATTAAAAATTTTACATTTCTTCTTCAAAAATCAACAACAGCAGAATAGCAAAACAAAAAGAAACATAATAATTGTGACGCGTTGTCGTATAGACAATTAAAACAGACAGAAGATCAAATAAAAGCGATTCTTTTATGATAAAATTAAATGGGGAGATTTACTTTCAAGAAAATTTCAAAGTAATTTCAACTTTATGTTAATAATACTTATACTTGTTGGCAACTTTGTTTGTAGTTAATTAAAAAGTATAAAAACATACAATTAAGTATGTATGGATTTTAAAAGAATTTAACTTTTAACAATTATTTTCTTAAATTTTCCTTTGTTTAAATTTTTTTTCTTATTTTCTTTAAATTTTCCCCCCAAAAAATCTGCCTTAATTATTTTAAACATAAATTAAATAACTAAATATGTAAATGTTTGTTGGTTCATAAAATATAAAACAACATTAATAATGATTTTTTATTATCCATATTTTTCACAAGACAAAGATGTCTTTTCTCTCTACAGTAGTAGTAGTACATAAATCCCCCCTTTTCCGTTGCCACGATGGCAAGTGCTGAAGCGACCCCTACAGCAAGTGTTTATAACATAAATCAATTGTCGCGCACAGCAAAATCCCACTCCCTCCCACTAAATAAAAATGAAGAAAAAAATTAACATAAAAATGTAAAATACATAAAAAAATAAATAAAAACACAGAAGAAGTCTCACACATGTCATAAATTCTTTTTAAATGTTAATACTTGTATACATTTTCAATTTAAAGGCGAGTAAAGAGGGAAACATAATAAAAAATTTGAAAAAAAAAAATGTTTTTGAAATGAAATGTTTTTGATAAAACATAAACTTCATTTTGCTAAGTGTCACCAAACTTGTGTAGACACATTCATATAATAAAAGCAAATGACAAGTGTAGTAAAGTACAAAAGATTATGTCTTGGATTTATAAACTTTATTTTCTTTATGGCGTTATAATTGTTTTATAGTATCGTTTGCAATTTACAAATATTAGTTGGTTGGAATATACATAAGTGCAAGTGAGGTAAAGACTTCTCTTTCATTTATTAATTTAAATAATAATGTAATATCCTTAATAAGGACATTCTTGTAGGTATGGTTACTTACAACAGAAACATTGAAGCTGTTTACCACACAGATGATGCTATTACCAGTAGCAAAATCTACTTGAATTAAGATTGACTCACACAGAGACGTTATAACTGATTACATATATTGAATTAGCATTGTGGATATGTTTGCTTTATTTACTATTTAGTAAAACCGCATTGCTATTAACTGGCAGATAAAAGACTAAAAAAAACAAATGTCCTTTTAATACCCAACATTAAAAAAGATTTGGGTATATTTGACATATCTTCTATAACATTAATTATTGACCAACTAAAATGGTTCTAGAATGATCTCGCTATGACCATCTGCATGTTGAAAGTACTCAAATAGTTGGAGCACTATATCTGAAATTGTCTACTAATATTATTTGTTATACGTAAGTCGTAGCGACAGTCTATATTGCAAAATTTTAAGACGTATTAATTTTGAGACTTGTTTATTCCTTAAAGAATGTGACCATGTTCAGCTGTATAAATATTAAAATATGAGTGTATATCTATGTATATATGCATATAAGATATATATATATACATATAAGATTAATACATACATATGTATCTTAAACATACGCACTTGATTATGATTAGAGATGTAACAATAATTTTTAATTATATTTACAAGTATTTGCACGTGTGCTCCCTGATTACACGTACTTATACACTTGCACAGGTGCAGACAATAAATTATAAACAATATGTATATAGCTACGGAATAAATTGTATATGAATTTGTATACATAAATATATATGTATGTATGTATGCGTAATTGATCCAAAAAGGGGTTGTTTTTGTTTTAGCTTTATGGAAATTCTTGTAATATTATAATGACTTTTTCCTTTGCAAATTCATCAAAATTTTTTTTAATTCTCATTCGATATTTCATTTGTAAAAAACATCAATATGTCCAAGCTGAATAATTTTTGATATACATTAAACAACGTGAGCAAATTTGACCACGAACATTAGAATGGAGTCACTTTTCACACGTAATGTTTTTACTAAAATTTGATATATAACAAACGATATTCTAAAATATCTAAAACCCTTTCCTAACTATCCAGCAAAGTGAAATAGATAGATAGATAGATAGATAGATAGATAGATAGATAGATAGATAGATAGATAGATAGGATAGATAGATAGATAGATAGATAGATAGATAGATAGATAGATAGATAGATAGAGAGATAGATAGATAGATAGATAGATAGATAGATAGATAGATAGATAGATAGATAGATAGATAGATAGATAGATAGATAGATAGAT